CAGTGCAGCTAAGTTAAGATAGGAGAATGTTAACTTGGAAAAGGATCATTAAAGGACCAATGCGACCAATTTGTGGCAATAATGTTACAGAGCAACAACTAACACATCCATGGAGGAAGTTGCAGCTACCTGAGGAAAAGAATGCCAAAGGTTTAGACCGTTTCAAACATCAGAAAAAGCTTAATATATGTATATATACAGATTGAACGAATTTTAAACGGATCATACAATTTAATATATGTCTGTTTGAACTGCATTTAAAATAGTGGACATATAAAATTGGAAAAATTTCTTTCTTTCTGTAAATATGGTAACACCTTATTTGAGAAACATCTAGAGGAATGAGATTGGCAACACCGCTCAAAATATCCATCTGACTGCTTAGATAAAGGAAAGAGGGGCTTGCCTAAGGAACCAATAGGTGGTTTGACAGCATAATAAAATCCTAGAATTATTATGCTGTGGTGGTTTAGTAACTGGGACTGCTTGCTTAGTCTAGTTTTCACAGTGATCTAGGCTGTAAGTCCGTAGCGTGAAAATAAAATATTTTCGTAAATATATTAAAATGATAAATTGAAGAAAAACTACAATTTAACTTGGTATTTGGAGGTCACTCGATTCGAGATATAGTTAATTTATTCGTTGTTTGTTTTGCGAATATGCCGGTTCCTTCGATTTCCACAGTTGAGAGAATAATTCAAAAATTTCGCAAATGTGGATGTATTCAAAACTGCCACAAGTGTAACAATCTTTGTGAACCACCTGTTCGTCAAAAGAGTGAACAACGTATAAATAATAAAGTTGATGTTTGTTGTGTTGTTGAGGCCAACCAGCCGTATTCAAGCAGGTAAAATGCTGACGAAAATTTTTTAAAGAACATTTTTATTTACTGACGAATCGACATTTTCTCTTCACAGGAAACACAATCCATCCATTGTTCGATATTGGTCTCGGGAAAACTGTGCGCACACAATACCCACAAAAACTTAATGTTTGGACGGGTATTTTGGGCGATTATGTAATAGGTTCCTTTTTTATTGAGGGTAACCTGAACGACACTAAAATACCTCGAACTGCTACAAGATCAAATCGTTCCGGCTATTCAGCAACTTCCTAATATGAATTTTGGAGATATTTGGTACCAACATGACGGATGTCCCAGTCATAATACAAGGGCAGTTACCGAATATCTCCAAAGGACATTTGTAAACCGGTTAATTGCGACAAACGGAACAATTAAGTGGCCTCCAAGATCAGCAGATCTCTCCCCAAATGATTTCTTTTTTGGGGGTTTCTTAAATCAAAGATTTATCGGCACAATTTTGAACGTGCCGAAAATTTAATGGAGTTCTTTAAGTTAATGGATCAACTCAGAAATACAAGAGCTTCTTTGTATGATAGATTCATCTATTGTTCGGATGTTCAAGGTGGATTATTTGAACCTTTACTCAATTAAATTTTGTGCCTAAATAGGTTTTTTTTAGTTGTTTTTAGAATTATAGCTTTTAAGTTTCTTTTAGAAATTAAGTTTTCTTTCTTTTAAGATTTATTTTAAGTAAGTTTTAAGATTCTTTTAGAGTTTATATTTTGTTTTTTTACATATTTATTTTTTATTTTCCAAACCGTTACGGCAAAAAGCAATTACAAACCTATTTTATTAAGAATAATTATTTGTAAATCGATTTTACAAATAATTTTTCGAGCATAAAACGTGATAGGTGCGTAAAATACGCGTTTCATATAAATTGTTCGACATACTCCTCCCGTGGATCATTGATTACTGACTGAGCTCGTCAGTTCGAGCAGAGTATATTGCTCTGATATTGCTTTTAAAAGAATTCTTTTTAAAGCACTATACTGTGTATTGTTCTGAAGCTATTTTCTTGTGGCATTGTAAATTAATTACTATTTATAACTGGGAATAAGCCACAATTAAAGATAAAAAATACGTTTATTGACGTTTCAATTTCCAATTCGGTAAATCGTTCTCAAAATACAAACAGTAAATCAAACAAATTTTGTTTTTGTTACATTAGTGAAAAAATTCTTCTAATAATTTAATTTTATCTGACTCATTTATATTGACAATTCAGACATACATTATGCATTTTAAAGTAGACGACTTTAAAATGATATTGCCAATATTGTTGAGTTGCGCTCCTGGGACGACTTTACTATAAGATAGTTCATTCGATTACATGAAATCAACTTTAACTTGAGATATATCCGTCAGAAAAAATCATAGCATGTAATTTGTCTTTAAAAAGACAAACACATGACATGATGACAGTAAAATTCTCCTGTTAGTGATTCCATAGTAAATTATGAGGGAAAAACCAGAAAAAAACCTCATAATACTATCCCGACATTGTAAGTATTTGTTCGTGAATTTAGTTTACCTTCGATAAACATCAAAATTCTGATTTTTATATGTTACGTTATTTAAAAAACATAAATGATGTATCCTCTATATGTTACTGACTTACTAATACTGGTATTTTCTTATTAATAACTTCCTCTTTCAATATTGGTAACCAGATCCTACTACATTCTGCCGAGGAATTTGCGACACAATTGGCCTCATTTAGCATAATTAGAGCCGCTTCTTTGATTTTTCTTTTTTTACCATCCGTTTCTTTTAGGACTATATTTGAATATTCCATTGAACCCTATGTTCATAATCCCATGCGTGTTTACATATTTGAGATCTATCAAATCTCTATTTTTAATATAAGATTGATGTTCACTTACTCTAACATTTAATGGCCTTGATGATTCACCTAAATAAAACTGATCGCATTCACAAGGTATTTATAAATGCAATTCTTTGTCCTTTCTTGTTCATTGTTAGGTTTGGTTTTGGACAAAATAGATCTCAACGTGTTTGTTGTTTTGAATGTTGTTGAAATGTTGAATTTATTTCCTATCCTTTTAAGTTTTTCTGATAATCCTTTTATGTACGGTATTGTTATTTTCCTCATATTATTCCTTGTGTATGCTGTAGGATCTCGGTTCTAAGTTGTTCTGTTCTATTCGATCGATTGTTGAAAATTCCTTATTTATAAACGATAAAGGATAATCATTTTTTAATAAAACAGATGTTAACAAATGTTTCTTATATCTTATCTATAAATCTATTATCTTATATTAAAAAATAGAGAATTTGATAGATCTCAAATATGTAAACACGCATGGGATAATGAACATAGGGTTCAATGGAATAATTCAAATATAGTCCCAAAAGAAACGGATGGTAAAAAAAGAAAAATCAAAGAAGCGGCTCTAATTATGCTAAATGAGGCCAATTGTGTCGCAAATTCCTCGGCAGAATGTAGTAGGATCTGGTTACCAATATTGAAAGAGGAAGTTATTAATAAGAAAATACCAGTATTAGTAAGTCAGTAACATATAGAGGATACATCATTTATGTTTTTTAAATAACGTAACATATAAAAATCAGAATTTTGATGTTTATTGAAGGTAAACTAAATTCACGAACAAATACTTACAATGTCGGGATAGTATTATGAGGTTTTTTTCCTGGTTTTTCCCTCATAATTTACTATGGAATCACTAACACGAGAATTTTACTGTCATCATGTCATGTGTTTGTCTTTTTAAAGACAAATTACATGCTATGATTTTTTCTGACGGATATTCTCAAGTTAAAGTTGATTTCATGTAATCGAATGAACTATCTTATAGTAAAGTCGTCCCAGGAGCGCAACTCAACAATATTGGCAATATCATTTTAAAGTCGTCTACTTTAAAATGCATAATGTATGTCTGAATTGTCAATATAAATGAGTCAGATAAAATTAAATTATTAGAAGAATTTTTTCACTATGTAACAAAAAACAAAATTTGTTTAATTTACTGTTTGTATTTTGAGAACGATTTCCGAATTGGAAATTGAAACGTCAATAAACGTATTTTTTATCTTTAATTGTGGCTTATTCCCAGTTATAAATAGTAATTCACTATACTGTGGCTCGAGCTGACGAGCTGAGTGTGACACGGACTCAATAGTATTGACTGTGCGGCCGGACAGCGCTGCCACATTTTATTTAGGAAATCTACTGAAATCTCCGGATAAATAGTTATCCAAATAGTTATCTATAAATAGTAATTCGGGAAGTTTATCTGACAGATTACATGCAAATCTATCAGTTTACCCTTCCGATAAATACTTATTCGGAGGTGAAAAGACCGGGCCTAAGTCAAAAACTAAAGTATACTATAAAACTTTATTAACGTATTTGTATATAATTTAGGATTCTTGTATAATAAAAACAACAGCTAACTTAACTAGAAATTAATATAATATGAATATTTGTAAAAAAACAACCAAACTTTTTTACATTTCAACAGGCCAATTTGTGCCTTCTTATACAGTTGAGCCCACGGATCTTTACCCGTGCGTCATTAATACCTGGCGAGATAAAACACATACTTTTTATCTAGCATCATTGTCTTCCACGCATGAAACTAAGGATAAATCTTTGCTTTAAATCATGACGCACGGGTAAAGATAAATTGACTCAACTGAAATACGTCGTTATTGAATTCGTTATTGATCGAATTTCATGGCATGTCATTTCTCTCATCAAACGTGACAGAAATAAATAAATAACGAACATTTTCCTCCGGTTGACAACACTGCTGAAATGTAAAGATAAGTGTAGCTTTCAATTTTTATATGTGATGGGCGGGGCAACCTATTTGGGTGGAGTTTTGACTTGTTCTTGAATGGGTTCAGAATCCAGCAGCCCGCTGAAGTATTGGATTTTTATAATATAATTATTTGACAACCTTTTGTTGGCCAACCACCTAAAGCGGAGTTGAGCCGAAATACATATATTTCGTATGATCCGAATTTATCTCGTTCAATCTGTATATACATATATATATATATATATATATATATATATATATATATATATATATATATATATATATATATATATATTAGTAATTAAATTATTCATATAACAACTTACCGCTTATATTAAAATACACCGGTCTTGGTATTGTCGTATCATTGCTACGTGTATTATGTCCGGAAAGAGTCGGTAGATTTTTCTTAATTATCGCTTCTTCAATCTACAAACCAATGGTAATTAGCAAGAATTCAAAATGTAAATCTGTTAATTTTTAGTTAAATAAGTATCTTTTTATGCGGTAATGTGTAAACTTCTATGCCAATTAAGAGTTGACACAACTATATAGACGGTTTTGACAGTTGAAATGTATAGTGTGAGATATTACAAAAAGACTCTCATCTAGGGATTTATCAATTTTTTAATGGATATATTATTAACACTTTAAACGGCGAATCATTAAAAACTGTAAAAAATTCACTAATATCATTAAAAACATGTTATTGGGGTATCTTTTATCATAATATTTTGCGAAAAATAAATATAATACTGTTTTGTGAGAAAAAACACATTTTCAAAATGGGAACGTTGGCATCTATAGGTCACCACTATACAATGCATTCATAAATTAAAGCTGTTACAGGTCTATTTTTATTATTGTTTTTTAACCTTTTTGGAAAAAAAATTACTTTTACCCCCACTACCTTAGCAGGTGTGATGTCATCGATAATTTATTTTTTTAAATAGAAAGGGCATATTTTTGTGCTATAACTTACATCTAAAATTTTACAAGTGCTAATAAATCAGAGGATAAGTTTAGCAGATGAACAACAGGGTTTTCGTAGTGGAACATCGTGTACAGATGCAATATTCGTTATAAAGCAAATTACTGAAAAATCACTAGAGAATAATAGACCAGCATTTCTGTGTCTGATTGGCCTAAAGAAAGCGTTTGATAGAGCAATCCAGATAGATATGGGCTATCCAGATAGAGCAGTCGGTCATTAATTTTACTCCAGTATCAGATCGGCTCTTATTTCTCCAACTACAAACAAGCACAAGTAAACTAAATATCATACAGATCTATGCACCTACTGCAGATAAATCCGAGGACGAAATTAAACAATTCTACGAAGAAATCAATCAAGTATTAAAATCGACGAAACCATGAGATATCACCGTAATTCTAAGTGATTTTAACTCAAAAATTGGTAAAGGAAAAAGTGGCAAACATGTAGGAGAATACGGACTCGGTAAAAGAAATGAACGAGGTGACAGATTACTTCAATTCTGCCAGGAGAATAACATGATTATATCTAATACATTCTTCAACTTACCAAAGAGAAGACTTTATACGTGGGAATCACCCCAGGACAATGACGAAAGAATAATTCGAAACCAGATTGATTTTTTACTGATAAACGAACGATACAGAAACTCCTTAAAATCCGTTAAAGCTTACCCAGGCGCAGATGTCTTTTCAGACCTTCTTCTTCTTCTCGTGCCACTCCTAGCGGAGATTGGAAATCATCATGGCCACTGCGACTTTGTTAGCAGCGCGCCTGAAAAGTTCAATCGAACTACATCCGAACCATTCACGTCGATTACGAAGCCACGATATTTTTCTTCTTCCCACACTTCTTTTGCCCTTAATTTTGCCCTGCATGATGTTTCTTAAAAGTTCGTACTTTTCACCTCTCACAATGTGCCCCAAGTATTCCATCTTTCTAGTTTTTATCTCATTTAGAATTTCGCATCTTTTGTCTAAAGTTTGGAGTACTTGCGTGTTAGTGACGCGGTCCATCCATGATATTCTGAGAATGCGCCTATAGCACCACATCTCGAAAGCTTCGATGTTTTTTATGGTCAACTGTTTTAGTGTCCAAGCCTCAACTCCATATAACAGGGTAGAAAAGACATAACACCGCAGCATTCGTATTCGTAACTTTATATTGATATCATGATTGCAAAAGAGTTTGCGCATTCTATTAAAGACTGATCTAGCGATTTCTATTCTACATCTAATCTCTTTTGTTTGATCAGTATCGTCTGTGATCCAAGCACCTAGATATTTATAACAGGGCACACGCTCAATCGTTGTATTGTCTATTACAAGATTAGCTCTGATGTTCTTTGATTTCGTGATTACCATAAATTTAGTTTTTTTCAAATTAATTTTCAAGCCGTAACTGTTACAGTATATATTGAGACTTTGAACGAGATGTTGTAGTTCTACTAGCGTTCCCGTTAGGAGAACTGTATCGTCAGCATACCTTATATTGTTGATCGTCTCACCATTTATTATCAGACCAAGATCTTCTTCCTCGAGTGCTTGTTCACAGATAGCTTCACTATACAGATTAAATAAAAGTGGCGATAAGATACATCCCTGCCGGACTCCTCGACGGATTTGAATTTCTTCTGTTAGTCTGCCCTCAACCTTGACATTTGCTGTTTGATTCCAATATAGATTGCATATAATTCGAATATCTCGGCTGTCTATATTTTTCTTTATTAGAACTTGTCTTAGTGGTTCATGTTGTACTTTGTCAAAGGCCTTTTCGAAATCAATAAAGCAGGCGTAAATTTCTTGGTTCATGTCTAAGCATCTCTGTGAGAGAACGTTCATTGCAAACAGAGCCTCCCTTGTACCCAGCCCTTTTCTGAATCCCATCTGAGTGTTACTGATGTCTACGTCTAATTTCCTATAGATCCTATTCAGACCATAACCCTCTAATAGCGTAAATGAGTATTAAACTAAAAAGATTGGAACAGAAAAGAAAAGCAAATCAGATAGACGTCAGTCATTTATGTAACCTGGAGGTAAAGGAGAAACTGCAAAAATGTATTAATAATAATTTGAAAATACTTCATGAAAAAGAAACATCTCAGCCAACGAACAACATAGACAAAAAATGGCAAAACGTAAAAATGGCGATAACAGGTCCTGCGAAGAAAATTCTGGCTAAAGAAAAACCAAAAATAAAGAAAAGGTGGATGACTGATAAGATCCTTCTTCTCATGGACAATCGGAGAATAATGAAAGGAAAAAATGAACAAAGGTATAAACAGATCCAGAAAGAAATCAAAATAGAAATCAGAATAGCAAAAGAAGATTTTTATAAAAGAAAATGTGAAGAAATATAGCAATTGCAGGCAAAACGTGATATTTTTAATGTACATAAAAAAGTAAAAGAACTTGCAGGTACACAAAAACGTAAGCAGCCAAATACCCTGTATAATGTCAACGGAAACATAATAACAGAACTAGAAGAACGGTTGAAGACATGGAAAAACTATATTGAAGAACTCTTTGCAGATGATAGACAAAAATCTGAGCTAAGTAACATATAAGGAGACGAAGGTCCAGAAATAACGGAAGAGGAAGTAATGTACGCACTAAAAAGAATGAAAAATGGTGAAGCTCCAGGTCCAGATGAAATACCAATGAAAATCCTTAAACTAATAGAAACAGACTCGATTCACATTTTAGTTGAACTTTTCAATAGCATTTATACATCAGGAAAAATACCACAAGAATGGCTTTTATCCACCTTTGTTATTATACCATAAAACATAAATGCCAAACAATGTAGTGATTTCCGTACAATCAGTCTGATGAGCCATGTACTGAAAATATTCCTGAAAATTATACACTCTAGAGTACACAGAAAACTGGAAATGGACATCAATGATACCCAGTTTGGATTCCGAAATGGACTCGGAACAAGAGAGGCGTTGTTTACACTGAACGTTATGTCTCAAAGATGTCTTGACATAAATCAAGATGTCATTCTTGATGTCAGACATGATGACATTCATGTGTTTCATAGATTACAACAAGGCCTTTGATAAAGTGCGGCATGATCACCTAATCAGACTCCTGACAGAAATATAAATAATATATATATATATATATATATATATATATATATATATATATATATATATGTTTCGTAGTATATATGTTTTATATACTACCAAGAGGTATTCAACAGAATGCATGACAAACTGATGTTGACAAGTGAAGAAGTTAATATAAATGATAAAGACCTTAGAATTATTTAAAACTTAGACTGTATCAATACGAAGCGAAGTACGATAGGGGTGCCTATTGTCCTCTCTTTTTTATTCATATATTATACATCGACTAGGTAAATTCATATATTATACTACGGCTTTACCGTAGGTGTACAGGGTTTCTCATTATATTTTGACCCCCACTTGTCAGATATTGTGTTATTATGACCATTTAAATTTTCAATTTCCACGGGAACTTTTGCCATGATAGTGTTAATATTTTTATTTGAATCAAAATACACTTTTTCTTTTAAAAACCCTCACAAAAAGCTATCACATGGTGTTAAGTCGGGACTATTTGGTGGCCATGTAATGATACCCTTATTACCGATCCACACATTAAATTGATTATTTAAATGTTCTTGAACGGCTGCGACATTATGTGGCGGTGCTCCATCTTGTTGCCATATCATACTATTTAATTGATTTTGTGTATAATTTTGATTTAATAACTCATCCACTTCTGTAATGACTGTGTCCAAATATGATTCTCCAGTTAATTTATAATCATAAAATAATGGTCCAACTATTTTGTTTGGAAATATTCCGCACCACACATTTATTGATTTTCTTCCTGACCTTTTTATTTGCTTAATTTTTCTTTTTCTATTATTTTCCTGTTCCCACGAATACCTATTTCTTCTATTAAAAATGTCTAGAGTTGAAAAATTTGATTCATCTGTCCATAAAATGTTATAAAAATAAGTAGCATCATTGTTCAAATTTGTAAGCATGTCTTGACAGAACTGTAAACGCTTACTCTTATGAACATCGGTAAGTTCTTGTACCAGTAATATTTTGTACGGCTTATAGTTGTGCTTTTTTAAAATTCTATGTATCGTCGCACGGCTTTTCTCTAATGCATTAGTAGCATTGTTTAGACTAGTTTCGGAATTTTTTAAAATAAATATGTTATTATGGATTTAATCTATTTATTTATGTATTTAATTTTTACCTTCAAAGTAAAGCAAAGTATTAAGATCTTCATTATTACTTCCTACGATAGTACATTTCTTCCGTTCAAGTATTTTTCCATTTATGACATGACGATAATTATATAAAAATGTATTTACAGAAGGAGTCTGTCGATCTGGATAAATCAGCCTATATTCTCTTCTTGCCGTTTGCTTGTTTTTATTATTTTTTACATAAATTGAGAATATATCTACTTTTTCATATGCAATATAACCTATTTCGCTATGAGGTCTGACATATTATCTATCGATAGCTATCGATATCTGAGAGTTTATAATAAATTAATAATTGTTTCATTTTCAAATGTCAGTTGCATAGCCACCTATGGTTACCCTTTTGTAGTACCATATGCCATTATAGAACAAAACTAATGCTACACTATGTTATATATTGGTAATCAAGAAATACAGGGCTACTCAAAACTATAAAAAAATACAGGGTGTCCCATTTGAAATATTGAAGATGCATTATATTGGGCGCTCCCTGTATACAAAATTTGGTCTGTTGTTACATTGTTGGTCGGTACAGATAAAATAATATAACTTTTATTTGAAATTTTTTTTGTATTCCCGAAATTAAGGAAAATAAGTGGGGGTCAAAATATAATGAGAAACCCAGTACATGTACTTGTAAATCCGTAGTAGTAAAATGGAAAAACAACATGAACTGGTTATCATACTCCAGTCGTCAGAGACGAAAATGCCACTGAACCTCTATAAATCATACGAACAAGCTGAATTTTGCCGAGACTATTAATTTTGGGGCTCCAAAAAAGATGCAAAAAAGTTTACTACTTTTACCCCCGGACTTCCCCCTAAAACCTCCCTCGTAAGGGGGTAAAAATGTTTTAAATAAAAAATGTAGCCGAGATAATTTTAAGCAAAAATTAAATCATTATGTTTTCTGTAGAATGAACTTAATTAGCTCCCCTAAATAAAATTAGCTCCCCGAAAGCAACAAATTCATTCAATATATGTCCTACCGGAAAATAAAAAAAGAGGTCCTCAACTAGGTGGCGGAAAGCTTGTCAGTCTACAGCCACTACTGATTAGCCCTACAAGGCATAACTAATTCAAACCCAAAAATGTTGAGAATACAAAGAAGCTCGCCGTGATCAAGTTCAAAGGGCAGAGGTGGTCGCAGTTTCGCACCAGGCATCTCTTCGAGAAAAGGAAAGCAACTGTTAAAAGGAAACTTGATTTAAACAAAGAAGATGATCATCTATCTAGCAGTAACAAAGAAGACGCTAGCATTTCCAGCGGAGAGTCGGGTGTGATGAAAGTATTTCCAAGAATTGTAAAACCTAATGATGATTAAGAGGAATGCATCTTTGGGCTCGGCAAATTTTCTAATGACAATTGTGGGCAATGTTCATCATATCCAGTTTGTGGGCCAACACACACTTCACAGGGGCTAAAAAGGTATATACATCTGTGACGTTTGCTGATAGACAAATAATTTTTAAAATTTTAGTTAAATGTTTTCTATTATATCTTTCATTTTGTTGAATTTGGTTCAATTAAAATAATATTTCTAACTTTGATTATGTTTTATTTCGCTGTATCATTTTTTTTATAAGAAAAGGATTTTAAACTCTTAAAATATAGTTAGTCTTAAAATAATTAGTTGAAGCCATGGAAAACTAAACAAAGTATACATGGAATACTCATTAAGCGTGAATTTCAGAATTTACCTATATTAAAAATATTTAAAATAAAATAGGGGTCCACTTTAGGCTACTTTCCTCAACAAAAGTTATGTACTTTAAAAATCAGCTTTGTTTTGTAAGTAATACGTACTAAATAGATACAATTCTAAATATTTTAATAACTTACCACTTTTGTATATCTTTTGTCAGACATTTTTTTGACAACCTACGAATATGTATCCTTTTTAAATAAGAATATGTATCCTTTTTAGCTAAGCTTTGAATTCGGATTACCTAAAAAAAGAATAATTCATTGTACACTTTATGTAATGAAAATGGTAGCAATTAAAATAAATTGAGAAATTAAAATGATCGAATTTCAGCATAGGTGACCTATCTAACAAAACCATAAAAGCGATACAGGAAAATGTATTTGAATATAATCTACCATGGTCATTAAATAATTGGAGAGTTCTGCGGTGGATATATGAGTGTGCAGTACAGGGCGACTTTTTGCAAACTGGGACACATTATGCGTAAATGTCAGAAAATTCCTGTAATTTTAAAACGAAGAATGTTTGAGCCTTGAATTTGGCCAGTATTTCGATATGATCTTATAGCTTATCTAAATACTGACACGTAAATCCCCAAACAGTTCCAAACAACATAACGAACCTTTGAAATATCTAAGAAAGAGATAGTCATAAAAAAAAGAAATTCGAAATAAAACCGAATTCCGGACGTTCTTGAAATAGTGGCTAAACTAAAAAAGGTATAAGCTGGAGCGGTTACATAGTGCAATAGCCTCAGATAGCTGGACACACACCCAATTTGACAAAACGGCCAAAAACAGTGCATGGAAAACCCCACAAAAAATGACAAAGTAATACCCAACGCAAATCTCCAAAAAATTAGATTCAGAATGCATTGTATAGAAAAACGTGGAAATAATTAGAAGTATAGGCTAAAAGTTCTAGTTTGTATATAGATAATCGATTTTATTAGATTCAATATTTAATTCGATTCGATAATTAATTCGATAATTGATTAGATAATCGAATCGATTCGAGAGTCGGTTCTATTAAACAATGGATTCAATGCGATAATCGATTCGATTCGATAATCGTTTCGATTCAATTTGACAATCGATTCAATTTGATTTAATAATCAATTCGATTCGATAATCGATTTGATTCGATAATCTATTAGATTCGATTCGACAATTGCTTCGATTTAATTCAATAATCGATTTGATTCGATAATCAACTACATTTGATGATCGATTCGATTTGATTTAATAATCGATTCGATTCGATAATCGTTTCTATACTATTCGATAATCTATTCGATCCGATAATCGAGTTGAGTCAATAATAGATTCGATTCGATAACAAATTTGATTCGCTAATCGATCCACTGCTAGTGCGATCCACCGCTTCATCCGTAGCATGTGATAAGAATGCTGAGCTTTCAAAAAGAAGAACTTCCTGAGCTATCTTGATGAGATAAAAGAAGTAATTAAAGAAAAAACCACTTATACAAGAGGTAGTTGACACTTAAGCTAGTTAACATATAGAGGAGTCCCAAGCGCAAAAAATAGGGGACTACGGAAATCAATTAAAGTAGAAAACAACAGGTTCTGGGAACAAAAATGTTGAAAATCTACTAGGAAGAGCTCAGTTAGCAAATGCATAGAAAATAGTGACAAGCATAAAAAGAGATCTTACAAACACAGCAGTCACTGATTTAGGTCCTTTACCAGAATGAAAAAAAAAATTATGAAGAGCTGTTTGTTAAAAACAAACTACAGTTCACAACTGAAGATACACTACGTAACAACGAAGTAACGTTCATAAATATAACTATTTCAATAGAGAAAGTTATAACCACACTATCCACAATGAAGAATGGCCGATCCTCATTCCTGTCAAATTAGTAATAGCATTATACTGCCGTCCTTAGGAAAAACCGCATGTACAAAATCTAGAGAGTTTATATTACATGATTATTTAAGAAAAGTACTATATTTTCAATCTCAAATATATATTCTGACAGAAATACTAAACCTAACATCTACGAAAACATGCGTGGAACTCATGGTACAATAATTATTGTACCATGATGGTTAATGACAGAGAACTACGAACGCAGAGAAACTGTGTTTGTAGTTCTCTGTTAATGAGCAAATAAAATAACTGAGGAAAACAGCGATAGTGACTCAGATGGGTTCCAAAAAATTATACACAGGAGACATCGGTACATAATTAAAAAATATATAGGAACGGCAGTAAGTGATGACGATAGCACAAGTGGTTTTGCAGGGGAAAAGAAAAAATTGTGGCTATACTTACCTATATAGAGTGAAGAGAACAACAAAACAAGAGGAGATATGTAAATTTCTAATAGAAAAGAGGAAAATGCAACAAGAGTCTATTATGGTAAAGGAATTGCCAAGTCAGGAAAATAATATGTTGAAGAGATTTGTTGTATGGACTCCCTTTGAATATAAGGATGACATGTATAAACCAGAGTTTTGGCCTAATGGTGTTGGCATAAAAAGGTTCCAGATGCATCGTCATAAGGATTTTCTAAATAACCGAGGTGGAAATTTTTCATAGGAGAAAATAGAGAGCACAAGACACATCAATACAAGGAAATTGAAATACAAAACACAGTCACACGAGCAAACAATATAAGTATCATCCACCAGAACCTCCAATCCATAGGAAATTGTAATGATGAAATAGAAGAACTTCTAACAAACAACAGTGACTGTAAAATATTGTGCACAACAGAACATTGGAAAACTAAAGAAGAATTAAGTGAATATGGAATTAACAATTTTGTGCTAACAGCTAGTCATTGTAGAAATAATATGAATGAACATGGAGGAACAGCTATATATCTTAGTAAAGACATCATTGGTCAGGAAAGAAAGGATATACAAGAGTTATCAGTAGATAGGGTAATAGAGTGTGCTGTATGCGAAGCTAATATAGGTAATAACAAACTCATTATAGCATCAGTTTACAGACCATCAGGTAGCGATCTGGCAGTTTTTTTAAACAAATTTGAGATTTCAATATCGATCTTAAGAATAACACATTAGATAAAGTAAAATTTTGTATGTTAATTAACTCATATAATATTTGTCATGTAATTGAAGACTACACTAGAGTAACTGCCACATCTAAAACTTGTATAGATAACATACTAACAAATATGCAATCATATGTGTCAGTAGAAGTCTTACATGCTGGAATCTCTGATCATTCTGCCCAAAAATTAACTTTTCAGGTAGAGGAAGCAGAAACGAATACTCTTGAAATGAAAAGATATTTTAGTACAAATAATATTGAAACCTTTATAAGTAAATTACATAATCATGACTGGCTTAATTTAAGTTACAAATGTGTAAATGATCAATGGAATACTTTCTTAAATCAGTTTCTGTATATATTCAATCAGTGCTTTGCTTTTAAAAAGTTAGATTCTAGGCAATGTAAAAAAGGCCTTAATAAAAGGTGATCCAGAGATACTAGAATGTAAGACTCATTTAGACATCTTGTTTACAATGAGCAGAGTTAACCATAAATACTATGATTCCTATAGACAGGTAAAAAAAGAATATAATAAGAAACTAATAACAAAACGATCACAGCTATATGAAAACAGGATATCTGAAGCTGGCAACAAAAATAAACGCATGTGGCAAATTGTTAGTGAAATTAATGGTCAATTAAAAAGTGTAAATTCAATAAAAGTAGAGGGTAGTCTTCAAGAGATTACTGATAAATACATGATCCACTTAAATACTTCTTTAAATAATAGTCTAGGCGGGATCTGTTTTGGATTGGAAATTTTCGAGGGAAGCTATTTTTTTGCTGGAATCCCTTCAGGATATGCCCAGTATCGATAATCACGATATGCGCCAGTCGCAAACCCTGTGCTAAATTTTTTATTTAACAAAATCTGAAAACAATTGAAAATTTCTCATTTTTTTTGCTCCTATTTTCGTTTATAATTCGGAAAATATCGATCCTAGAGAAAAAGTTATAAGAAGTTAAAAGTTACGTAATTCAATTTTACACAATATTTTATTAGCTAAAAATTGAAAATTTAATGGTTATTGTTGAAAAAATAGGAATAATTGGAAAAAAAAGTACAAAAAAATGAAGTTAATCCTTTAAATGTTTTCGACTTTCTAAACTTGACTTACAAGTTCCATATTCTGCCTAGAAAAACTTTTTAATATGTTTAAAACGTGTGCTAAATTTTGTTAAGATCGGTCGGATAGGTTTTGCATAATAATTTTGCAATCCAGCCTACTGGAAAAAAATCGCAAATTTTCAAATTCATAGTAGGCCCTAAATAAGGCCTTCAGATAGTGGCAATTTTTTTTACATATAAAGGAAGTCTCACACTTTCAAACGCTTTTTGTAAAATTCAAATCGGTTTACTAGGAAAGCCTATAATTTTTTTTTAATTATAAACATTTTTAGGCTTATAAACAAATTAAATAGCTTTACGAGCTTTAAACATATCAATTTCAAAATGTATGCTCTTAAAGAACATTAAAAGGCGCTTCTTTTAAGAAACAAAAAGGTACATTCGGCTTACTGGCTGCCGAGATATTGAAGGTCAAAGTTGGTATACATTTGCCGTGTAACCATAAGTGATAGAGGGCTCGTTTTTAAACAAATACCCTCGTCTTGCCAAATACTTTTTATATGAAAAGTTTTACGTAATGCGCTTCATGGCAACATCCATAAAAAAACAAATAAAAAACCTTTTTCGCGTAAAATGTCGCTCGGAATCCATGAAAGGTGGTGGTGAGGGACATTAACTTCAAATGTGAATCAGCGAGTATCAAGTAGGGGACCATCACTTTGTTTAATTTCGGGTTTTGAAATATAAACAAAAGTAAAGTGCTCCAAAATCTGTAAGGGCTTGTAAAGTAAATTGTTACTTTTAGTAAACAAATATGTATTTATAAATTGTTAATAAATAATTTGAATTGTTAAAACGAAGGAAATTTTTTTTGTAAAAATCAAACATTTTAAAATAATTAACATTAAAAATAATTTATTTCTGCAGTTTTACCATAATAATGACATTATTTGATTTGAGAATATATTTTGATTCGAAAGTGACGTGTATATTGTATATTGACGTGTTATTATACTGCTGTGTAATGCTCGAAATTGTTTTTTT